ACGGGTCTCATACAGAAACACAGTCTGCCTTACATGATCACCTTTCATATTGAAAGATTCACTAGAATCCATATAACGTGAGTTGAACTGTGAATTAGATTTGTTTCATGACAGCAGATCAATAAATAACTTTAAATAAAACTTTGGATTTTATGTTAATGCTCTCTCCACCACAATCCCAAGAGAATATACCACTCATTTTGAGCTTGACAACTACCAGCATCAGTTCCTTTTTCAAAAGAAGCACTTATTTCTCCAATGCGTTGCAATCAAAATTCATCAGACAGTCTGTTAGCTATTTTAAGATAAGAACTGCACTCAGCCACAGTTTTATCTTGTCACGCTTCTTTCAGAGTTTTTCTCTTTTTTAGACTCCTTACAGATCTCTATGCTCTAGCAGAGCTCCTTGCATCTCCTTACTGAAAGAAAAGACCATTCACAGTTACTGTTCTCCACCACTGTCATCTAGAGAATAAACTCACAACAGTGCAATTCTTCCCTACTCTTGAACTGACTCAGGGTATCACAAAATCACAGAATGGCCTGGGCTGGAAGGGATCTCAAGGATCATCAAGCTCCAAACCCACTGCCACATGCAGGACTGCCAACCTCCACATTTAATACTAGACCAGGCTGCCCACAGGCCCTTCCAATCTGACCCTGAACACCTCCAGGGGAGAGGCATTCACAACCTTTCTGGGCAACTCAGGGTACTGCTATCATTCATCAGACACATACACAAATGTATGTGAACTTTCACAAGCAAGGGAGGACAACAACTCACAGCAGAAACACTTCACCAGCCTTCTATTTCATCACAGTAAGAACAAACATCTACTCAGTTTAATGGTCTAGTTCTGCAGACTGGGAAGCTACCCTTGCCATTTTCAGGGCACCTTCTACAAGAAACCATTATTTATTCGATTGAACAAAGGCCTCCCCACATTTAGGTGACTCTCAGAAGCAATGGGATTAAGCTGTCCTGAAGAAGCACAGCCAGGACCAGTGACAAGCAGCAGGTAACAAAATTGAAACATACTCTTTCAGTAAGAAGAGCTGGCAATAAATCATACCTCAGATATACCCTTCTGCTACTGGATGTTCCATAAGTGCAGCTGGTTCCACTGCTTCAGGAGCTCAAGTGAGAAGAGGCAAAAATGAATCTGCATTTCTGGCAAGTGCTGGTGGCACATTCTTGGCATCCGATATCCTTTTAAACAATGAGTTTGCATAGCTGCTTTTGGGACACAGGATTGTGGGGTACTATAGCTTGTGGTGGCCTATCTAGAGTTAAGTGCAGATTGGAAATATTGTCTGTATTAATATCCCCTCAATTCCACTTATCTAGATCTCTGAATTTGAAACAAAAAAATAGCAGATACTTTCTGGAACTTGAGAAGTCAAGCTCAATTTTGCAGCCAACTCATGGATACTGCATGGGGCTGTAACAACTCAGAAAGACAGACCCTTATGTAACACTAACTCGAGACATTATCCTCTTCGTTTCACTAGTATCACCACCTAGAGAGATTTACTCCATCTCCAGATCTTCTTCCAAAACATTGTTAGCCTTAGGCTAAAAATCACATTTGTTGTCTCTTCTGCTTTTGCTGTATACAACGCCACACAGCTAAGCTAGCTAATAAAGGTTAAGGTAACAACAAAATCCAACCCTGCTGTTATTTTGGAAATACCCACTACAAAAGTCATTTCCTACATTTCTTTCAAAGATACAGCCTGCTTCACTTCAGGGACATAAAAAAACAAAATGTCAGATGGATATGAGGAAAGAGACCGGTAAGATGATGTCAGGAAACTTTCAGTGGTTCAAGTTGGCACTCAATAGATGAACGTGGTTCAAAAACCTTTCATCAATGAGATCATTAAACTTAACACAGATTCATTCAAGTATCCTCAAATAGGGTTCACGCAATCCCATTGCAGAAGATTTTTAACAAAACAAAGTTTTATTGAAGGATTACTAACCAATTGTGTGGCAAGTTTGTAAAGTGACTCTAACAGCAACGGCATCAAAAAATTTACTGTATGTGCAGTATGTTTTACTGTAGCTGAGTACAGGGAAAGGCAGACAAAGAGTCTTCTGCAGAATTTCTTTCACTTGGACTACTGCTACGCCTGGAAAAGCCGGGAAAAGTCCCTTCTTCATATGAGATATAAAAAGTACAGTTTCAAGGATAAACATGAATTTAGAAGAAGAATATAAATATGAGCTTAGATCAGACATTACATATGTCTCAAGTAGACCATCTTTTAAAGAAAGGAAGATTTTAAAAAATTCTAGCAGAAGTATTTTTTAAAAACATTGAAAAATTAAGTTCAGACTTAAGATACATAGAATCTTTCTTCACATAGAATATTTCCTACAAAGAAAAAATCTAAAAAAAAAAAATTAAAAAGCCCCAAAACCTAATCCAATTCAGATATAACAAACAACCAGGTTACCTTGGTCTTCAGTGCAGAATGTAAGAAGAAAAAATTGTTCTCAGTACCAAACACATTACATTCCTTTTCACCTGGGAAATTCAGTATAACTAAAACCCTTCCAAAATTCTGCCTAAACATTGTCCTTGCAAATCATTGTGGCTACAGGTAAAGTGCACCCGTTCTAATTTGGCCAAATCAGAATTTACATTTTCATCTACTACAGAAAGAGAAACATACCCATCTATTATTTTACCACTGCAACATTGCTGGTTAGTGAGTTGTACCTCAGAGGACATAATGTGCCTTCAATTCCTTTGGTTTTCTTCTCACCTATGTAAACTGTAGTCAACCTATGGCACTTCACAAACAAATGAACATCATTTTACAAAGGAATCAATGAGCTTGATACACTGAGAAGATGCACTGAAAGTTAGCAACTACTACTTCATTTAAAGCTACCTTGACAAAGCACAGTAAGGTCCATGTGGATTTTCATTCCATTCTGTAATGAGAATGACTACTCTTACAGCAGTTTGGATGCATTAGATATCTATCAACACCTTTCTATCTTTTTCTTCAATCTTTTATTTTATCACTTTAATATTGCAGAGTCAGTTGAAGTTAATGGCATTAACCAATTAAGGCAGGCAGCAAATTAATTAAGACTTCCCAGTCTTGCAAATCAAAGAAAACCTTTGTGGAAGTTTAATTGCTGTCTGTTGCATCTCTCTGCCAAGTGCACTGCCCTACAGCATGTGCTTCTCCTTGCACGCCGTGGTAGAGAGAGACATGCAACATGGCAGCCATGGTTCTGCAGCGACTTCTCTGGTTAGACATACTATATGATATGATGTACCACTGCCTCCATGTGAGCATAAATCCACCAATCTGGACACTATGACATGCAGAACAAATGCTATATGCATACTCTTTTTGGCTGATTTATATTTATGTATATTTTAGCAAGAGAGAGTTGAACTGTTCAGAAAGACAAAGTAAACAGCAGAGTAAATTCAGAAGGTCAAAACGAGCAGAAATCTTACATGACAAACCTTGTGAAGTTGCACCATCTGATCAGTCTCCGTAATGACTGTTTTTAACAGAGACATATCCAATTTCAAGGAATTTTCAAGGAGTTCTAACTTTCGTTACCAAATGTTTACAATCTGGGATGATCTGCAATAAAGTGCTTTCTCACTTCAACCTGCGCTTTTTTTCCCTGATGGGCACTGCAATGAAATACATTCTGATTGCCCTAATAATAAGGTACATATTTGACTTTAAATTATAAAAGGCAATACTTTTTTTGCTGTTGTACTTTTAGTAACACAAATCAGGACAGCTGGAAGTGTTATTTCTACCCTGGAGTGTCTTGTGCAACATTTTAAATTGTAAAAGGAAATAAGTAATTCTAACTTTTATGATAACACAATTTATAGTGACTTCTGGTATTATTTGTCTGGGAATTGCTGAACATTGCAGAGTAACGTAAACTTCTATGAGCATCTTGAGGAAAACGTGCATTTAAAAGTTTATTTAGGCAAGGTAGAAGATTACATTGAGAAAAAGATATTAGCATATGCTAAGGAGAATAGAGCCAGCTCTCCACCATGGCTTTGTTTTTCTCAGGCTTACGTGAAAGACTGACTGTAAAATGCCTAATTCCAAATGAATGCTGTTTTAACCTTTATATTTCCATCAAGTCCAATACACTGGAACATATGCCACATAAGAGTGAATGCAGACGTTTCTTTCATTGACATGGGTTCCATTTGGTAGGTCCTTATCAACACACCCCTAACAGCTGTTTGAAAATATCAGAAAATTCTTACGAGTGTTCACCTTATTGATCCATTCTCAGACACTTCTTTACCTGAGCTTCCTGAACTAGTTATGTGATCAATTTGAAAAGAAATGAGTTAGAGAAAACATTTTGGTCACAGTGCTTAAACTTACGTGGCTGGTGAGCAACTTTCCAAAGCTGAACAGATTGACCATGAAAAAGTGTACCACTACAGTGCTCAAAGTACTGGAAATACCACCACAGCATGACACAGCACCTCTACAGGAGCATTTTCAGTTGGGTCTGTTATACCACACCCTCTGCAAGGCATACTGGAGATTGCTTCTGTTACGCACTCCAACTGCTTACGTATACAGAACTTTTCAAGTTTTCATACATCAGAAACATAAGTAGCCTCCCACAACATACACTCTCTGTTCTAAAATCCCACTTCTTCCTGTGTGAAAACTGCATTTAACTTAGCCCAGAGCATAGCACATGCTGATGCCACTAGGATTCGAGTGTAGGGAGAGAGAAATTTGCTAAAATTCTTCCAGAACTTATGAATTTATCAGTGAAAGTGATGAACAGGAATTTACAACTAAAGGGTGCTGTGGGTAGCTAACTCTTATTACAGTATCAAATCTTTTTGCAAGAGCTTCTGTATGTCGTATACAAACTTTACTTAACCTGAATCTGAACTTTTATCAGAAAGTTGCAATCTGGCAAACATATTTCAGAATAACTAAGTGCTCAATAAATAAAGACAGTTCTTCCTGAGCAACATGAGCTTGAATGACAACTTCAACTACTATTTATTAAAAAATTATAAATAAAGTTCAACAATATTCAGCCTGGAAAAAAATATATAAACTATAACTTTAATTGAGAAGGAGTATGTGTCACAAGGACTTTTACATCTTCATTCAACATTAGTTCATTTTAGTTACTGTAATATATGCTACAAATATAGGATAAGCAACTACATGGAAATCTGACAAGCCTGAAAGAAAAATGCATATTCTTGTATTTCACACAATATTATTTCATTCTGAGTAGTCTCTGTAATGCCAGCAGTCCCATTCCAGTTTAAGTGAGAACTCTTCTCTCCCCTCCACACTTTCTGTTTGCAGGAGTTACCAAATACAGTTCACTCCCACACAGATTTAGAAATATCTGCCCCACCACTCTGATATAGTGAACAGTTTCTAAAAAAGACAAATTCCCTTCCTGTTATTACACTTAAAAAAACATTCTGTAAATAGTATCAGAAGGGAATATTCCACAGGTAGAAAGAATTCAAATGTTTTTTTGACAATACGTTAGATTTCTAACAGATTCTGATACTCTTTCAGTCCCACATAAAGACAGATATGTTAAAAAGCATAATTTGAAAAGACATCATTAAAGAAATGAAATTTACATTTAGCTGCATCTCATTATACCAGTTACACAAGTTGCCCTTTCTCCATTAACTCTTCTATTCCTCAGTTAGATTTTCCAAAGAGTGTAAAATAGTATGATGACAGCACAGACAGACTGTTAGAAGTCTCTCTTCCAACTCAGCTTGCAGGCAGCAACTGAATAAGATTTCATCTTGTAGGAACTGGTATCCAGGGCATATGAAGGAATTGCATCAATAAACTTTCTTCACACAAAAAGCACTGTCCTAGCAGTTCTGCAGAAATGGTGGGGAACTGGTGTATAATAAACTATCTCCTCTGGTGGGTACATAAGCAAAGTGGACCACTGCACTGTTCAAAGAGAAATGGAAAAAGAACCTGAACCCTAAGGGTGCTTAGTATATAAGGTGCTTATACACTAGGAGTAGAGGTTAAAATACCACAGACAGGCAGACATGTTAGGGAATTTATATTTGTGCTCTTTAAAAAAATGTTATACAGATTGTAATAATTAGTTGCTTCTTAACAACTCTTACCAAAAGGAAAAAGCCCCTATTTTGAAAGAGCATTTTTTTTTTAATAGCTTTCAAATTTTAATTTTAATAGCTTTCATTGAGCAGAAGCCTAAAGTTGTAAATACAATAAATTTTACTCCCATGCGTTTAACAGCCACATTCCTGTCAGACATTGGATTATGAACAAGCTAACAGATTAGTTTAGGAGAATTGTTCTGTGCAGCGCATTAAACGGGGAAGAAGCAAACATCTCTGAGTGGGAGGTGGGCAAGCTCAAATTATTACCATGACAAATGTGATGTGCAAGACCAAGATATGAAAGAAAAGGAGATAGCAGAAAGGATGGTGCAAACCCAGTCAGCAAGAAGCTTGGAAACAGTAACCTGTCGTTACTCCGTTCTGTCTTTCTGCAGTTGAATTTCTTAATTTATTCTAGTTTGACACTTTTGCAGCTTCAGTCTTCAAGATGCAATCCAGCCTACGGCTCAGGATGAGGATCAAACATTGTTAGAGCTAAATGGTGGTTTGTCAGATTGCCAGAATGACTCCTTAAAAGACATATATTATTACAATTTTAGCAAGTCCATTAATGTCATAGTCTAAGCAAGTACAATGGGCATTAATTTTCCTGTGTCATTCTAGCTATATGCACTCCCAGGATAAATGATAAGCTACCACCGCAACTGTTTTATTTTTTTTCATCTTACAAATCTTCCTCCCACAAATGCACACAAATTATGCCAATTCTTCATGTTTTGCAGTAATACACAGAAACCTCAACTGAGATTAGGGCCCCAGTGTGCTCCATATGAACAGCACAATACAATCCTTGCTTCAAGCAGCTCACAGGTTAAGGAGCCAAGAGGAACATCTGATAGGAGAGATAGTAGAGAAAGCTGGTGAGTTACTTGCTCAAGGTCACTGAGCAGGCCAGGAACAGAGACCCCTCTCTTTTTCCCTTCCTAACAGGCCATATGTCCTCTCACCTTTGGCTGAACTTTTATCTCTATCTCTTCTTGGTTAGTTATGAATAATTCATGAAAATGAATTATTAGCTCTAAGGTGAAGATTACTGTTCACATGTAATAGCATTAAGCAGATAAGAAAACTTATGGTATCATATTAAAAAAAACTAAAAAGCACACAAGATGAAAACCTAAACTGATACTACTGTGATTCCTTTCTCCAAACACATCTGGAATGTTGTTAACAGTGTAATTTATTTTGTCTCTTGCCCATTGCATGGTCTATGAATTTCTGCAATTCATAACATGAGACAAAAACAAATTCTGTTTTCAGCTTAACTGTCCCAAAACTATTTTCAATTTGTAGGTTTTACTGCAAACAAGTAAAAGATGTAGTGGCATAGAGAATTGTGAATTCACACTGCTAAATAATGAGTTTAGCATTTCTTCAGCACTTTTACATACAAGACTGAATCACTCAATCACTCACCAAAATTTTTTGTTTATTTAGAATCTTTCAGGCTTCAAGTGATTTGCACTAGACTAAAAAAAGAAAAAGAAAAAAAACTGTTGACTTGACATAAACTAGCCTAAATTACTGCACTGAGTAAAGTCCATTGACCCTGATTTCTGGAAGCAATTGATACTGCTGCTATTGACCCAAACCACATTCATAAATTGACATTTTTAGCAAAGGTTGTCTGCCGCTCAATTACCTTAAATCAGTTAGTCAAAGAGTGCTCTCTTGCTACCTTCTCTTAATTACATTATAACATCCCAGTTGTAAATAACATGCCCTAAGCCTTTAATAGGAATGCTGAACACTCTTTCAACTCCCAGTGTGAAATCTGTGCTTTTCTTAGTTAAAGGGATACAGAACACACACTGCATAGGACACTGCTATAAACTTTTAAACTCATCCATTAAAAAAGGAGACTGTGCAATAATTACTGCAGAGATAAGAAAGCTACATAAAGTATGGCAAACAAATCAGTATCAATAGGAGATTTCTTTCAGTAGTTCAAATTGCTGGCTCTCATAACAGAACCATACTCCTTAAACTAAATAGGACAGGGGTCCCTTCAACCTAGTCATCAGCAGCCAGCTTCCAGCTCTCCTCAAAGACGATACGTATGGTCTGAATAAAGAAGGCAATATGCAACTAACCTCTGTCTAGCCCTTCGCACATACATTACATGATCTAAGCATTGTTTGGTACACCTTGGAATATACCACATCACGTATTTTCCAGTAGCGTACTATACATAATAAAATTTGGATACAGCATAAAATTACAGACTAGTAAAGAACAAGCAGACAAACTGATACAGAAAGCACATAAAAAACTTCCAACTGAACCTAAAACAAGGGGGACTGTACATCAGGGACACCTCTCAGGACAGTTTTGAATGTGGGGGCTCTTTGCAATTCCCCAACCTAGTCAAGAGTCATCATCAATTTTAGTACTCCAGAAGTGATGAAAGAAGAGACAAACAGGAAGTACAGCATGAGGGTACCCTGCTTAGTATAGCAGATGAGACTGCACAACTATTAGGCTATTATTAATTATCGTGAGCTGGATAATAAATTCATGACTTCTTAATAATGGGCAGGTTCCCGTGTCTAAACCCTAATTACTCTTCCCAAGTCCCAAGTGATCTTACTTGCAACAAAGCCAGTGTCAAAAAATGAAAAGAAACACAGAACCAAACAGGGCCACTAAATCACAGTCTTTATCTTTAAAGCTGAATAGTGACTTCACTGAGCAATGTGTTCTAAGCTTGCTTCCATCTGCATGCAGCGATGGACACAAGGGCTTCTAGAGATCCCTTACAACTTTCCACTGCTCTACGTAAGCTGTGAAAAGCTTACCCTGCCCTCACAAGGGATCACACAAATCTTTTCTTGAATTGAAAAGAAATGGGAAGGGATTTTAAAGGCAGAAAACTTGCACCATTTTAATCAGGTTTAAATGAAATGAATAGGAAATAGAATTAGCTTTTTAAAATGTTTTTTTTTTAAAAAAAAAAAAAACAAAAAACCTATCAGTAGATAAAATCCTGTTATCTCTTCTGGAATATTTCAGAAAGTGGCAGTGGCTGTTCCCATTACAAGCAAACGTATCTGACCAAGATGTCAATATTAAAAGCACTGAAGAGAGGGCAATCTTACACTGGAGGGAGCAGAGAAATATGCAGTTAATTAATTCTAATACATACTGCAGTTTCAGAATTTAAAAAACTCCACGAAGAGTTAATTACATAATCTTAATCTAAAAGCCCCACACATTCTACAATTTTCACCTAATTCAAAACACTTATTTTTGCAAGTTTTTCTTGCTTCTTTTTTCACTGTCTTCTGAAATCCAATCACAGTGCAGTAAATTAGTTCAGTCATTACAAAGACAGGCTGAAGCATGGGCTAGCAATAAAATCAAGATGTAGAATCATATTAAAATAATAGAATTATTTGAGCTGTATAAAATTATATATTACTGAACTGCTACTACCAGTTTAAGCATATACAACCTCACGTGCCTCATGTTAACACATCAGGAATTAAACAATAAAGAACAGATGCTACATGTGACTTTCAATCTCGAGGCAGATAAAAGTAGGGTAAAAACCTCCCCCTAAGATGCAATTCAGTGTTATGTACTCTACTGCAGCTTCTCCCTCAGCATTTTTAGCACAGTGCTACCACAGGATGTGTGACAGGATGAACAGCAGCCCTTTGCTGCAAGCTATTTTTCAGTCTTCAGTGAAGTTTAACAGAAATATCCTAAGTGAAATAGATCTTCTCCAGCCAGAGGGAGAAGAGAGATTTCAGAGTACAGGCATGAGCATGAGGAGTCAAACATTTCAGAAAAATTCAGAAAATACTTTTCTTCCATGTGTTGCAAAGGGAAAGGAGAATAACAAATAACATCAAAAGGGGAGAATAGCATCCACAAGAAGCATCATGGAAGTATGACCAAAGTCTACAGTTCCTACTGAAAGTGAGATGTCCACATTACTTTTCTGGCAAAATGGTATTCATGCAGCTACAATGAACATGATTTCACTTTCTATTTTAGTTAATGCAAATGCCCAATAATGGGCTATCTAACTTACCATTTAGGAGGGCACTAACGTTTGATTTAGGAGCCTTCAGAACAAAACATTTCCTGAAAGCATGTTAAAAAAAGCTTGCAGACTCTTTCCATTAATTTCATTTATAGGAAGCAAGAAAACACAAGACTTTAGATGCCTAAATATCATCAAAATCTGCACACTGCTTTAAGTATTCAATTACTTTCTTTCCTCTGGCTTTCAATTAGTTTTTCATTCAAGTAGTGCTTATAAGAAGAAAATCACCATAGTTTTGACAGATTGCTTCATGTGAAAAGTTATGTTCTAATACCGTAGACATACATTAAATAATTTCTTACTTGTTTCATGGCACATAAGTCTCAAACAGACTTTTCTCTGGAAAAAAAACACCCAGATTTTGGATAACCAGAAACCAGAGTTTTGATTTGAATTTATTCAATGCTATAAACAAGGATTGATTCCAAGCAATGAAGTTTATCCACTTCAAAGTTCCTGTCAAAGAACTCCATAAAATAGGTAAAACACTCTGAAGTTAGCACTACTATCATTAAACCAGGCAGCAATTGTTGCCATAACAAATATTTTGTGTCCAGAGTTACAAAACAGAAAAGACAAGCCTTTCACCTTTAGAGTTGGAGCCACTTCTGATCATAGCCTGAATCTTCTGTGAATATTCTTCTATAACCTGTAAGAAATACAAAGAATTCCGCCAAGGCAGGGAGAGACAGATGTTCCTCTAATTAGTAGACACGTGCCTATTGCCAATCCTACTCAAAACTAAGTACTCCATTCAAAGCAAAAGAGCATTTCTAACGTTTAAAAACATTACAGCATCTTCTGACATGAATCAAACATCCAAAAGAAATAAACAAAACAAACAACAAGTAATTTGAATCATTATGAAACCAGAATGAAAAACTATCTACAGCGAAGGGTTGTTGCTTGTTGTTGCTTTTTGTTGTTGTTTTTTCCTTTTTTTTTTTTTTAGTATTTCTCCAGTCTGTGTAGTAATTTACACAAATTATAAGCCAGTTATATTTTCATAAACAAAGAATTAAAGGATGTTAATGTAATTAATGCCAGCCTGGGTACGTTTATCAAAAATGCATCTTGACTAACTTGATGAGATTAAAAGTTTGTCTCAAAGATAACAGCTTGATGAAGTTAGAATTTTAAGTGAGTAAATTAAACTTGGTGCTTCCTGATATGTTGACTGAGAACCTAGAACAAAACAAAGTCAATATGTCATGTATTAATCAAATTAAAAGTTGATTAACTGACAAATCTCAGCTGAAAGTCTAAACAAAAATTCCTCAACAGGAGGAAGTTTTTAAATAGGCTCCTGCAGGCTCTAAAGGCTTTCATTTATTTATTTTTTAACAATTAGCCACCTGAAGGGAGAAAATAACTTGTGAAGATGAGGAGACTTGGAAAATTTTCAGTGGGAAGCAAGATGCAAAAAAGTCAAACACCAGTGGAACCCAAAGCAATGTCTACTTTACCAGCACTAAATGCAAACAAAGACAAACATTTTGGCACACAGGGTACAAAATTCATGATGCTTCCTGAATCTCTGCTTCCAGAGAAGTGGGAGATCTGAGGTTTGAAGCTTGTTTGCTGTATTTTGCTTTCTCACAGAAAATCAAATTTCTTTAGCACATTTCATTTTAAATGGTTCCCATACAGGTGCATACCAATGTGTACATGTAAATAGAAATGGATGTTTTCCCTGTGGATCACTAACAACACACAATGCCTTCATTTCATCAACTATATCCCTGGGAGCTAGAAAATTGCATTTCTGGTGACTCCACCTCCTCCTTGGACAGGGCATCCCAGTGTCTGACCACTCTTTGAACCGTAAGGGTTGGAAAGAACCTGTGGAGATAATTCATCCAACGCTCTGCTAAAGCAGATACCCAAAAGTAGGTCACACAGGAAAGCAGCCAGGCAGGTTTTGAATATCTCCAGAGGAGACTTTACAGCCTCTCTGGGCAGCCCAGTCCACTGCTCTGTAACACTCAAAGTAAATAATTTTTTTCCTCATATTTAGATGAAACTTCCTGCATTCCAGTTTGTGCCCACTGCCCTTGTTCTATCACTGGTAATCATCAAAATGAACCTGGCCCCATCTACTTGACACCCACTCTTTAGTTATTTATAAGCATTGGTAAGATCCTCTCAGTCTTCTCCAGACTGAACAGTCCCAGGTCTCTCAGCCTTCCCTCATAAGGGCCCCTAACCTATGGTCCTCCATTGGACTTCCTCCAGCAGTTGCCTGTTTTTTTGTGAACTAAGAAGACCAGAACTGGACACAGTATTCTAAATGTGGCACCACCAGGGCACAGTAGAGGGAATGACCACATCCATTGACCTGCTGACCACAGGTCAACGGATTTTTAACGCTCCCCAGGATATCTTTGTCTTTGTTGGCCACTAGGGCACATTGCTTGCTCACGGCCAACCTGCTTCCTGTCTAGTTCACCTGTTGTCTACCATCACACCCCAAGCCTTCTCTGTGCAGATCCTCTCCAGCAGATCAGCCCCTCATTTGTACAGATGCACAAGGTTATATCTCCCCAGATGCCTTTGGCTCTGCCCTTGCTGAATCTCATTAGGTTCCTTTCTACCCAACTATCCAAACTTTACAGGTCTCAATGAATGGTAGCACATCCTTCTGGTGTCTTTGCATATCAAATATCCACAAGGTTCAAACAAATAATGAGATTCAAATATGCCTTTAATATGAATACAGCTGTAGTCCTGATGACTAAAATTCCAGCAGCTCCTGTGGTAAATTATTCCCTAAGAGCAACTGAGAAGTAATTATTACAAAGTTATTGGGTTATCAAACTTCTAATGATGTTATAATCGCTTTCATTATATAATTGATTTGTCACAAATGCTCTTATTACAATTATTATTGACCTCCTGCCACTGCTAAAATGTAATTAAAGGTTCAGTTCTGTTTAACACACTGTCCTTATGTATTGTTGAAAAATCAGACAAGCTCCAAAATATACACAGTCTCACTTTTTGGTTCCACAATATGAGACCTAGGACAGTTATTTTGCCACCTCTTCTCTGAAATCTTACATTCCCTATATTTTTTTTTTGTTTTTAATGCCCTACTCCGTGTATTTAGTGAAGCCTTATTTATCCAACAGCATCATGTTTCTAACCAAGCACAAAACATTTTGCTGCTGTTCTGCAGTTTTGTTATGTATGCTCACTACATTTGTGCCAAACCAAAATCAGTTTCTTCTTTTCTTTGCCTGGCATTTTTTCTCTCAATGTAATAACACTGCAAATAAGTCACTCCCACATTTTTATTTTTTTTTTAACAAGTTGTGCTTAACAATTTTTCCTATTCATTTCCCTGGAGATTTTACCAAGTCCAATAGTTCAGAATAAAAGAATAACAGGAAGAGCAAGTACACCATTGGTCCTAACTCAGCAGCCCTCCCAGCCAACTTAAGCTAGGTAGACTTAGTACCGTGTTACATTCAACAAGCTGTTACTTTCAAATGATGTTAGAGATGTGCAAGAAAACTTCTGAAAATCTAAAATATAAAATCCTGTGTTTTTGATCTGTTTATTCATGAAATTTGGTACTTCCATGTAAATCTACTGAAGACCCATCTTCTCGTTATCTTCCCTCATCTCAGATTGCTTTGTAATGTAACTGATGGAAGTTGAAGTGCTTACTAGCAACAGGAGGCTAATGTACTTTAACAGCTTCAAAGAATTTCAGAAGTCAAAGACATGAACAATTCCTCTGCCTAAAATAACACTGTGTGTGCAGAGAGGACCACAGTTTTGGAGCTTCAGACAATTAGGGAACTGGGAAGAATAATAAGGATGAAAAAAATAAGGACGAAAAAAATATATTAAAAAAAGAAATATTTCTGTAGTGTGATAGTTCATGTATACATTTAATAAAAATAAATGAAACAGTAAGAAATAATGCCAAAAAAATAGAAAATCAAAATTTTCTGTCAAAAAGTAACAGTAAGTAATATTTCAGAGTTCGAGGCATTCAAATTAGTGCATTACCGAACAAGGAGGGAGGGAAAAAAAAGAATTTATATAAAATAAGTATAGACTGAAGGAAGGATAAATGAATCGTGATCTAAAACACCCAGGGAGTTTTCAAAGTTGCCTTTATATTTAAACACAACTCTTACCTGTGAAGGCATCTGGCAAACAGAACATATGTGATACTGAATAAAGACTCCAAGAAAGGGTTAATGGGACCCAACCTGCATTGCTGTTACACTGGTATAGATCAGCAGCGACTTCAGTGAAGTCAAGAGAAGAAGAAGTCTGGCCCATCACCCAGCAGCCATATTCATAAATAATCCACTGGCTGACAGGCAACAAGATGACAAAGTTGTAAATATGCAGGTGAAATTCTAAAGGCAGATTACAGAATTCACGTTGATCTCTAATACCTTGCACCTTATCTCACTATTTAAATTCTACCAAGGATCTCCATAAATATTTAATTCAGAACAAACCATGAGCTACATGGCAGTTTAAACTATTAGATCAGATTTGAAAACAAATGAATCAAGTGTTTCATTTATCCTGTGGGCCACTGTCACTTAGGTGACAAAAATGACAGACAAAATAGAAGGAACACTCTCCTGTGAAGCAGGTATTACAATTTTAAACATAGAACTCAATGAGTTAAGATAACTGTATCATCAAAATAGTGTCAACTGGCTGAGGAGAATGCAGGCCAGAAGATAAATAGCCTCTCCAAGTCGTACCAACCTGGAGAGAACAGAAAGCACTTTATATAGCACAAGGCTTTTGTTTAATACTTTTAAAATAGAGCTATGTGCTATGCAAAAATCAGTTACAAAATCTGGAACAAATCCATAGAATTACAGAATGGTTTGGGTTGCAATGGACCTCCCACACTCACGTATCAACTTACTTTACCACACACAATACTTGTTCAACTCTGTGAGACACCAGAAAACCACTCACACCTCCTCTTGTATTAATTCTCTACAGGCTTAGTGAGCTGAATCAATTCTTTGCAAGATCAGATGAACAGAACTGAAGCCATATAGGCAGAATTGTGGAAGGACATCACATCTTTTTGGTGCCAAAAGCTCTTAGGTCACTAGAGCGCATCTAACTTCAACAACTAAGAATGACTAGAAATTCAATTTCATTTTTCATTCTTAGAAAAAACTGTTTTTGTCACAATAATGTAGCAGAAAGATAATAGGGCTAGGCTCCCAATGTTTAAGAGCTCTTCAATGGAAATTCACTACACAGAAGAATGTTCTAACTCTTTAGAAATGATCTCCAGCAGGCTGATGAGGCTGGCAGAGAGGTGGAAGAGTTCACTCAGAGCTAAAGAAACCCAGCAAGGATATCTTTTTCTTCCCACTTTGGAAGCAGAATTTTAACAAAAGAACCTCCTTCTTTCCATATGCTCCCTGGTATATGAGTGTTCTGCTCAGGACTGTACAAATACATTTAAGTACCATTTCTGAGGCATTAAATCTCTCATCAGTGCGCTCTGTTTGCAAGCACTGTAGGAACACTAGGTTGAAATAAGATGCCAAAAGGAAATTCAAACAGCAGGACTGAAGATAATCAGAACTAATGTAAAAATATCCAGGGAAAGCTTCTTTCAAGGGCTTTATCTTACACTCAGGCACA